GAAATACAAAATATTCCGTTAAAAAGTCCATGCTTCAAAAAATATACAAAAGAAAGAAACTTCATGAGTGTTATCAGTTGTAAACAAATACTAGGTTGAATTTCGACTATTACCAAATATAAGCAGCCATATAATCTATGTTTTCTACTACTTTCTGTAGCTGAGGTGAATTAGTTACTACAGATCACTGGGCCATGTAAAAACTGCCGTAATAAGATTGATTCAAACTCCACAAAGCTACTTCATATTGTAAAATTTTATCTACCCTTCAATTTATATTTTCAATTTAAATTGAATAATAATGAAATTTTTAATTCATTATCAGATCATACTATTCAAATTTGAGTTCTGAAATTGTTAAATTATAGAGTCATTGAATAGTTATTGTATATTTTTTTATATTTGTGTATAGGTATAATTAACATATCATGTATCCTGTTGGCTGATGATGTTTGTCTTTAAAATAAAAAACTTTTGAATAAAAAATGAATTTATTCGATTCTCAAAACTGAAATAGTAGTTTTTTTCCAGTTTGGATAATTTTTCTGTTTCCAACGCTGCCGTTGTGCGAATACCACCGATATCTTGAATCCTTCGTCTTTTCCAAACATTATCACGCGAACGCGAAACGAAAAGTAACACTTAAAGAGGCACAGAAACTGGCGAGACATTCATAAAGAATTTGAGAAATGACAAAGAGTATGCTAATCATTGTACCGATATGAATTATTTACGATTTTTAATTACGGAATTATTCATGAATTTCTGGAGCACTTAGCGGGGAGACTTGAAAGCTTTTCAATTCCAAGGCGCAGAAACGCCACGCAAAACATCTGTAAATCCATCGAATCTGCATACCAATTCAATTCGTGTTTTCGCTCAAATCTTCGCAGGATTTTCAAGTCGCGGAAGGTCGCAAACAAATCACTACTGAGCAGGTGATAGTGTCAAGGACGACCGCTTGAATGACAACGGTTATTTGTACAGACGTGAGAGATATAATTCTTTTCTTGGCATGAAATACGGGAGATATCTCAAAATCTGAACCAGGTCTTCTATACTTTCGAAAAGAATGGAATTGAAATTGTGATGATAATTATAATTATGAATTCTTAAAAATAATACTGAATGAAACTTGACAGTTTCCACTCCTACGGAATAGAAAAGTGGGGCATTACTGATGGAGCGTAACTCGCAGCGAAAGATTAGAAATACTTCTAACGCAGTTCGCCGTTCAAAAAGTGCAGTTGAAGGGACTGCTCCACCAAGATTCGTCGGCGAGCAAATAGGGAATCACCGTGGCTATTTCCACGGAAAGTCTGCTGACTCACAGTTGCATAGAGTGATTTGCCAAACTGATGATTCTACTCCTCTGAAACTGAGCAGAAGTCATATATATATAATTTTGGTTTTCAACATAAGAATTATATATAAAAAAACAATATATATATATATATATATATATATATATATATATATATATAAACTATATATATATATTATTTACTAAAAGGAAGGCATTGTTCTAAGTTCATATATATATTAAGATGACGAACCTTTACATAAATTTTGTAAAATAATATATATATATTATATAATTATTATATGATATATATATATATATATTTGGGATGGCTTCTTCTTCTAAGTAATTGGAGTCTTTGATATTCGTCCAATTTATTTCTAAGGGTCCACTTGACCATATTTGTTGAAAATCTTCCTGGGGTGTATTCTCTTCAATTCATTGGTGACAATGCATTCAGAGGTTATTAAAGATACTTTAGGAATCTTATGAGAGAAGGAGCCCGTCTCACATTCTTCCCGTATTATTTCATTATCCATAGAAATTATTCTTCCATTTTCTATTTGGAATAAATCTTTTTGTAATTCTTCGAAACTTCGATTACAGTTTTCTTTGAGGTGCTTCAGGACCATTCGTATACATTCAGGTGGTTTTCTTAGATAATCTTGTTTGCTTAGATAGAAATCTTCGACTTGCTGAATTATCTCGGTAGTCCAGACGATTTTGTCGTTGCGTGTTAATCCATAGGATAATAGGTTAGGTATTTTGGAATTTTGGTACGGTAAATTATACAATTTATAGAGGTCATATTGAATATTACCGAAGATTGGGATGGTTATACTAAATAGAATATTGAAATCTTTAATAAATGCTTTTGTTGTACAAACAGCATAGTAGTCTGTCAAATGAGTAAATGGTAACAATTTTTCTCTTTGTATTAGTTCATTAAATTTATTTAATGGTAAAATATTTTCATGTAAAAGGTGTAACCGTGCAAAACTGATTGCGTTCTCAACTTCGGATAATATTATTGCATGTATCGGTATTTCATCTTTGGTTCTTATATTATGTTTGATTTTTGAAGTAAAATTAAGAGTTTGTCCTGGTAATTGCAATGCTTTTTCAGTATTGTTGAAAATTTTAATAAGTTGATTCTGAATTTTCATAGGTAAATGTTTCAAATCTACAGGATATGATAATCTTCTCGGAATAACCTTTTGGAAATGAATAGGAATTTTACAATTTTCTCCTATTAATAAATTATTTTGTAAATCAATCGTAAAATTATTCTGTTTAAGGAATTCAAAGCCTACAATTCCTTCATATTGAGTATGAAATTTATATAAAACAAATGGATATTCTTTTTGTAATCCGAAAGAATTTAATGGAAAAGCAACTTTTTCGTGACTAATATCATGTCCATGAGGAGTTATCAAATCTGTGTCCTCTGAATAGATCAAATGTGGAATATTATTATACGCGATTTTTGGATCGATTAAGCATACTGTGCATCCACTATCAAGTAATAGTTTACATTTCGGATAATTAATTTCAATGAAAGGTAAATGATTTTTTCTAATTTTGTTGTTTAAAGAATTTAACTCAATGTGGTGTCTGAGGCAGTTATCTGAAAATTTTCATCAACAATATCTTCATTTTCTTCAATTATATTTGGATCATCTTCAAATTCAAAATTTTCATAAAATTGATCATTGTCATTATTTTTTGCGTCTAAATTCGTTAATTCTTCAGATATATAATTGGGTGATATCTGTTTATGATTTTGGAAGTGATTAAAACTTCTCGAATTATTATCAAAGAAAGCTTTTTGAGGTGTTTGATTATGATTTTGTATTTGTCTTCTTTGAATTATTGGATTCGCGGTTGTCGTAGACATAGGTGTTTGTCTATATTTGGGTACAAAGTTTTTATTGGGTTTAAATACGTTACTTTTTTGAGATTCGTAAGTATTACTTCTACCAAAAACTTCTTTATTCGTCGGATAATGTCTAGGTACATTATTAATTTGTGGTTTTACATTTATTGATTGAGAAGGAAACGTTTTCATTTGGTATGGTTGTCTCCAAGATCTCATTAAGTCTAATTGGGATTTTTGAGAGATATAATTCTCTACGGTTTGTACTGCTAAATCAAATGTGATATTCGGTGTTGTTAAAAGAGCAGTTTTTAAATCGATCGACACATTGCTAATTAATACATTTTTAGCTAGGTCGGAAGTTAATTGTTTATGTAACAATTTTAATGCGGCGTCTAACGTCGGTTCTGCGTCTATTCTATAATTAATTCTAATTTTATAAGCTTTGATTTCTTCAATGAAATCGGTAATATCTTGATTAGGTTTCTTCCTCAAGAATTGTAACTGATTTTTGAGAACATCCAAATTGGCATGATCTCCGAATTTCTGTAATAAGAAATTCTTAAATGCGTTCCACGTATTTGGTACGTTAGAAGAACGATATTCGGCGTTTGCCTTTTCAATTAATTTGCTTTTAACAACTGCTATACAGTATGTTTTTACTATTTGTTCTGTATTCGCGAATTGTGCGATATACTCTTCACAAGCGCTTAAAAATGAGTTTAATTCTCCTTGTATCCCTGAGAATTTCGGTAATAATGCTCCAAATTCACGGCAATTCTTAAATTATTTTCCGCCATGACTTTTGTTTTTTCTGACTTTTCTTCTTTATTTAAGTTCAGTATTTCAATTGAGTCTATGAGCGAATTTATCATAAATATTTTTCTTTGTTAATTTTATTGAGAAATGTGCATTCACTATTTCCAATCTTCGCTTAATATATAACAACCTACTATAATGATAAATTATAGGGAGTTTAGGTTTTTGGCTGAAACCGTGGAAAAAACAGGAATATAATTAACACTTGCAACTTACTGTGATTTGTTTTCCCAAAGTGGAGTCGTCGGCGCTACCCTTGCTTTGCACTCTGTTCGAATTCTTCAATGGTCAATCGAGCTCCGGACTGGTACTACCAAATTCGCAATCATCTGTGAGACACGACTGAGCTTGTGTTTGGTTCGGATTGTGGTTGAGAATTAATATTCACTTAAACAATCTTCGTACGGTTTGAGTTAACGCATTGATTACTCTTCTTACTCTAATTCGGAAGAATTATCCTGTTTGCCAATCTCTTGATTCGGAAGCGTCTAATGCAGCAATCCCATCCTCGTCGCCAATTTTGGTTTTCAACACGAAGAATTACTTTTTAAAAAAACAATTTTTATTCACAAGTTAAGATTACAAGTAGCTTTATACATACTTTCGTACTCACTAACGTTAATATATTGAAGATTCTAATGCAAGTCTGAGTTTATATAAACTAAAGTTGGTTAGTCAGCATTCTATATAGTGACGTTATTTACTAAAAGGAAGGCATTGTTCTAAGTTCACATAACTATATATATATATATATATATATATATATATATATATATATATATATATATATATATATATATATATATATATATATATATTATATATATATATATATGAAAGAAATATTTTAAATTTGGAATCGAAATTACACCACAAAAGTTTTCAACCTCGACTGGGATACGAACCCAGGTCTCTTAGGGTTTACGCCCTGGTTGCTCTAGATATAGTCGGAACTGCATCGTGGAGCAGTAGACCTCGGTAGCTTAGTTAGTAGAGCAACTAAACCTGGTAGCTTAGTTGGTAGAGCAACAGGGCGTAAACCTGAAAGACCTGGGTTCGTATCTAAGTCGAGGTTGAAAAAAAAATTTAATACATCTGTGAGTGTAATTTCTCACGATTCTAAATTTGAAAATTTTGACTGGCTTCATATACATAGATATGTCGGAATTGCATCGTAAGCAGTAGACCTCGTAGCCTATTGGTAGAGCAACAGGGCACCTAAGAATAATATTTGACTTCAAATATATATATATATATATATATATATATATATATATATATATATATATATATATATATATATATATATATATATATATATATATATATATATATATATATATATATATATATATTGATTTATCGCCTGTTTAAGATAGTTAATTTTTAATATTTTTAGCAATAACAGGTTTATTTTAATGTGAAAACTTCATTTTTGTTTTTGACGTTTCGTTGTATTTCACAATTTTGTCAAAACTAAGAATAACTGATAGATATCAAAATGTCAAATTTATTTTTTTACGAAAATCAAATTAGTTTCTTTGTATTTTTACATATTAATTTTTAGTATCAAAGGAATATTTCTGGCTTAGCATTCGCTTCGAAAGTTTGAGTCTTCTTCACCATGAGGAAACATCTGAAAAACTCATGGTAAGCCAGGTGATTCTTATAAGTGTGATTTATATATATACATATATATATAATTACATATAGTTGAGTTTTATATAAATTTTTTTTTTCTGTAACTCATAGTGTTTATATGTACAGTAAATTCTATATCTAGGACAAACATCACAAAATCTCTAGGAAAGAATTGAAGCGCATAAATAGGCAAAAACTCGAATAACAACCTTAAATAAACATAAAATAAGAGAAAAACACGATTTTGATTATAACAATACAAAGATTTTAGCAAACTGAAAAAGACAAAAAATGTAGAGAAATTATAGGAATGTTACACATTCGCAAAAATTTGGGAAACACAGTAAATGAAAGAACAGACATTTATAACATCTTAATTCTATTTACAACGATTTAATAAACCTCATAAATAACACTCATAAAATGAATACACAACAATCACCAAACATCACATCTCAAAACTCATTTTTTCCAGATCTACCTTCAATTTCACACACATAAACCAATTAATATTACATATTCTGGATAAGTCTAAAACTCAACTACATATATATATATATATATATATATATATATATATATATATATATATATATATATATATATATATATATATATATATATATATATATATATAAATATATATATATATATATATATATATATATATATATATATATATATATATATATATATATATATATATATATATGTATATATGAATCACACTTATAAGAATCACCTGGCTTACCATCAGTTTTTCAGAGGTTTCCTCATGGTGAAGAAGACTAAAACTTCCGAAGCGAATGCTAAACCAGAAATATTCTCCAGATACTGAGAATCAATATTTAAGATTACAAAAAAACTGATTTGATTTTTGTAAGAAATAAGTTTGACATTTTGATATCTATATCAAAATGTCAAATTCATTCATGAAATTCAATTATTCATAAGTTCTGACAAAGATGTGATAACAACGAAACGTTAACGAAAATAAAGTTTTTCACATCAAAATAAGCCTGTTATTGCTAAAAACATTAAGTATGTTATATATATATATATATATATATATATATATATATATATATATATATATATATATATATATAATAATCTGAGCTTTGTCTACTTCACTTTGAAGGTAATGGAGAAATATCTGAATTGGTCGGTGGTGAGGGTGGTTTATCAGGCAGTCTTCGAATCAAGACTTAGATATGGTGCTATGTTCTTCGGTAATAGTAGTTTTATGAGAAATATAGACGTTCGGCAAAAACGAGCCTTGCGTAGCATTTTGGTTATGAAATCTGATGCTTCCTGCAGAGGCAAGTTTCGAGAAAATTGTCTACTCAAAGCAACAGCGATACCTTCCCAAGAAAATTTGCTTTTTGTGTTAAAAAATCTGCAACTGTTTGGACAGAAAGCGATAGTGGGTATAGCACAAGGACAACTTTTTTGAAATATCCAAATCATCGACTCGCACACACAAAGAATGGACCTGAATACACCTGCATAAGATACTTCAATGCCTTGCCTCCAAATATCAGGTCAGAAAGGAACATAAGCTAGTAAAGGTCGACTATATTCAGTCTGCTCGTTATGAACGAACCTTATAGTGTAATGAGTTCATGCCCATCGTTTGTTTTATTGATAATTATTGTATATACATTTATTTGACACAAATTTCATTTCAGAGTGTTCATATGTTATATTAATAGTTATTATACATTATATTATAGTTATATATGTTTAGGGAGTGTTGCAGTAATGATAAGATATTCAAAATATTTTTGGGTTATCGGCAAAGGTGGGCAGAATTAATTTAAACGACTAATCGTCAGCAATTCTATATTTCGAACGAATTTCGTTCTTCCTCAGTAATTCTGAAAATATAAAGAGGTGTTAATAAATCAGTTACAACTTGAAGAACAAGGGAAACCTACATCTGACACAAGTCAATAAGCCAACAAAAACGACACGAAAGGCATCCAATAATTATAACGATAATACTAAAAATAAATGCAGCAGTGTTAACGACGTACGATATATAAATGACATGTACATAAACTCCTAAATCGAGGTTAAACCATAGAACATATAGTAAGACATATCAACGAACAAAACTGTATTGACACAGAAAACAATCAACGACATCGATGATGCTAGCCATTGGAAATTTGGCCAGGCTCATCCAACGATAATAAGTAACTGTAAACACAACTAAGACTCTCAATATCTGTTCTTTTGTTAATGTTGTTAGGAGTATTGTTAATGTTGCACATCTCCAAGAAGGTTCTTTTCTTGTAGTTACATTCGATGGAGAGAATTTTTTGGATCTTCAAAATCAAACTTATGCTCCAAAGAAAACGCATGATTTGCCAGCGCGCATCTTTGTGGTTGCAATCTGGCATCACTTCTATGGATAGCTAACCTCCTTTTCAAGCATTGGGTCGTCTGACCGATGTAAACTGCCTGACAATCCTTGCAATGTATGCGATAAATGCAATCCGACATGGCTTGTGTTGGCGTTTTGTGTTTCAACTTACTAAACAGGTTACGAACAGAAAATGGATTATATTGGACCACTTTCATATTGGGAACACCACCAAGAGTATAGCTCAATCTCTGTGTCAAACCATGAATGAATGGCAACGAAACATACCGGATGGAATTAGTTTCTTGAGGAACATCATCGTTAACAGTGGTGTCATCAATAGGCCTGGAAAAAACGGTCTTTGAATAGTGCTGATAACATTTCGTCACAAAAGATATCGAGTATCCATTTTCTAAGAACATATTAAAGAGCCTGATTTCAGCAGATCTAAGGTATTGAGGATGACATATAGATCTAACCCTATAACATCCGCTTAATCAAGTTGATTTTTATACCCCAAGTGTGATTTGATCTTGCGTGGGTATATCTTTCCGATGAAGTCTTTTTTCGGAATCAATCCAGTTTGATAATATTGTTATTCGTTCTTATCACTTTGGTGTCTAAGTACATATACATATATATATATATATATATATATATATATATATATATATATATATATATATATATATATATATATATATATATATATATATATATATATATATATATATATATATATATATATATATATATATATATATATATATATATATATATATATATATATATATATATTTATATTATATATATATATATATATATAGAATGACTTGATCAACACAGAATTCTCAATAATTCTAAATGCGGGATATATGTGTCTAATAAATATCAAAAGTTCAATGAAGATTTCAAATCGAAAAGCTTCTCCCGTACCTGCTAATTTGGTTTCATCTGACTGGAATCTTCATAATTACATTGTTATTGTATCTCATTGATGTTATATTCGTATTTAAAAGTTTCACAATATTCGAGAGTAATTAATTTACCTACTGATTTGATGAAGCTATAAAACACCTGTTTAACGGTTATGGAATTTATGATTGTGTGATATGGAACAAGTTGAAAACCTGAAGTGTGATTTATAAAAGCTTGGTGTTCGATTATTCTTGTGACTGAGATTTCGACCAAAGCACAATCTAAGTCGAAAAACTTGCATAAATGGCATTCACAAAACGTCGCATTCATTCGGTATAAAGAAGAGGAAATATCAAATATAAATAATTGATCTAAAATGAACGGTGAGTTCATTTATTGATGAAAGGTGATGAACTATATTGTTGAAAGAGTGCGTCAAAATTTGTTATTGGTGCTTGAAAATAAGGAATATGTGGTCATAAAAATATATGCAAATATGCATCTTTACTATACTTTGTATTGAAAGAAGTATCCAGATTATTTTGAAATATTAATTTTTTGATTATGAAAAAAAGTCTACGAAAATATGTTACGGCGTTAATACCTCTAAGAACACCATCTGCTGGATATCTACCTAACTATCAAATCAAAAGTTACTGCAATATTTTGAGCGTGAATTATCCTGCCGTCTATCAGTAAATATTGTTCAAACTGACCAGTGTCCGGTTCTTAGTTGACATAATTTTCATTTCATTAATATGTCAAGGAGCAGCGTAGTCATAGTCATAGCCATCGTGATTTTTATTCTTTAGATAACTCTTTTCTTAAAAATAGTAGAAGCTTGACTAATCACTCTTCAACTCCTCCACGAATAAACATAACAAACTGTTGCAAATAATAAAGGTGCACTTAATTCTAGTTGGAACGAATGAGTAACACTTTATGAATATAAACTTTATAGATATAAATAATTTATGTACAACGAAATATCCACAAAAAGAAGACATAAGTTCATAAACATGTTCACAAAAGTTTCAACTTGAAGTGTTTACAGTACTCGCTGCCGAAATACATGTGAAATCATAAAGTATAATTTTTCATATATAAATTGAGTTTGCTGAAAGCGAGCTTCTCAAAATATAAAGG